TTCCCCAATATTTTCTTTGACCTCCGTGTTATTGACTACCTCCTTTAAGTATTTCCACATGAGTCGGCTGTCACCCTTATTTATTTCCACCTTATGCTCTAAGTATTTAATTTTTTTACACCTTAACATTTTCTTATATCTGCTTCTCACTAAATTATATTCACCCCAGTACCCTGACAACACTGCTTTCTCATGGGATTTAGATTTATACTTGTTCATCTCTGTCAATTGCCTATCATACCATTTGTTCCTCTGCCTAATGCGAGTTATTTTTGAGTAAGTCAACTGCCTCATGGCCCACATAATGCAATGAGTAATATACTCCACCATACCGTCAGCATCGAAAAAATTTAAGTTCGAGAAATCGCACTGCCTTAGTAAACGGGTTAAGTGCTCAGGGTTATATCTCTCCCAGGATATTACTTCTGCCTCCTTAGCAAGTGGGTTAAGTTTATTGACATTTAGTCGAAACATTATTGTTTCGTGGTCAGATATTCTATGATCCTCGACCTTTTGACATATAACTCGGTTATCATTGGAATACAACAAGTCAATACGTGTTTCCGAATGTTCCGTCACCCTCGTATTAAAATTTATCAGCTGTTGCATGGCTTGTTGCAAGAAAACATCATTGAGTTTTCTGCTGTATGTTTATGTTAAAATCGCCAATGACAACAGTGTTCACAGAATTTTCTGAGATTTCTGCTAAGATATCCTCCATATATGTAACAAATTCCGCATCACTTGAGCTTGGGGAGTGATAAACAACCCCGAGCTGCCACCTGGTATCACAGTGTGTGAGTTGAATAACTATACACCAAACATTTTTGTCTAAAGCCTTGTTAGTTATTGTTTTAAAACCGAGCGTGTTTGGAACGAGTATTATCACTCCCCCTGTGTGTCTACTGTGTGAGTCGCAGCGTATCATCTGATACGCCGGGAACATTATTTCCGTATCCTCTATGTCATCAGTTAGGCATGTTTCGGAACACAAAAGTAGATCCGGGTCGGTAAAATCTATAAGTATTTCTAGCTCAACTTTATTAGCCACTAAACTCTGTATATTGAGATATACGCATTGCAAATATTTGGGTAGCGCTTTCTTTACACCGGGGTGAGACGTAAACTCAACGCTAGGGTCCCCACAAACTTGCTGTAATTGTTAGTAATTTACAGTATTTCTTTTATGCTCGAGCTTTTTCTGGTATACAGGACACTGTCGGTTAAATGTCATATGATTTTCATCAAGCCCTAAGTTAAATTTTTTATTAGCACGAATGCAGTTTATGCATTTCTTTAATGTTTCCTTAGAACATTCCAGTTTTGTGGTTATCTAGGCACTTGAAACATACCTCATCGGCTTTACATTTCGCAGCTATGTGGTTAAATCCCTTGCATTTGAAACAGAAAGTAACATCCATTCCATCTTTGACTCTACATTTTTCCCAACCTATGTTTATTTTTTCGCTTGCCAGCACGGCTGCAAAGGCATCTACATCTGTTTCTACTAACGCATTATAATGTTTTGCATTTCCTCTTTTTGTTTCAAAACATTTCAAAATTTTGAAATTACCATTTTTGAAGCATTCATTCTGTTTTTTTATCATATCCCTGAGCTGCTCATTCTCATGTTTAAAGCTCATTCTATATACCATGAACCTTGGCTTGGCTACGTTTGGGATTTTTTATTTCATATCTATCACTCATTTTATTCTCTATTGCCTTTTTGATTTTTTCACGCTCAGCCTCATTTTCTGTTTGTATTACTACAGCCCCACTTTTCCTCCCCTGTACACTATTAATTTTCAAGCCCGAGGGGTCAACATTTTTGTTCAAATCTTCTTTTGTTTTTCCCACTTCCTGCTTCTCTTTTGGTTGTAGAACTAATGGCTTCTCTTTATTTACTTTCGGCGGCCTATTATCTTTCGCAGTATTACCTTTAAAGAGATCCGCGTAAGTGGCTTTCGCCCGTTGACCTGCTAACGCGTCAGCAGTCACCGATTTCTTTATCTCTTCACAAATTTTTTTGTTCTCATTTTCATTGCGCACTATGGCTTTGCAAAGATCATGGCTTTGCTTTTTTACGCCGTCAGCTATTGACTTAATTTGGTTCACTTCGAGAATACTCGCCTCACAGGTTTTTTGTACTCTTTGCATTGCATCAATGCGTTCCCCAAATTTTTTCTCTATTGATTGCAAGAGAAGTTTAAGCTCTTTCACTTGCATTTTTTGCGACTCCTGGAAGTCATCATTACTCTCTTGGATCTTTTGACTATTTTTCTCTATTGTTAAGTTCATATTTCGGAGCACCTCATCGATGTTATGCATGTATGTGTGACATTGGTTACACATAAAGCGCACAAAGTTGTTTTCTTTGAGTACATTCGCACTGTACTCATCCAATTCAGAGCATTTTTTTGCCCATTGCCACACTTTACCACACACACCATCAAAATGAAACAAATTTTTGTGCTTGCAATAGCACTGGCTCTAACGCTGGTTGAAATCCTAACAATTCGGCTGTTTTTTAAAAATTTTCCGCAGAGCGATTACAAACACGTCAACAACGTTGCAGTGTTACCATCAATTAGCAGAGGATGCGTACGGTTATTTTCTGCTATTCAATCAGCGCGTGCGCAATCGCTTTGCCCGAATGTTGCTCTTCGCTACTCAAGTTTGCCACATTATCGTTTTCGTTGAACTAAGTGTTACTTTCGATGCATCCTTGTTGATGATCTTTAGAGCTCTGAAGATTATAAGGTTTGTATGCTTAGCAGGCTATTGCTACTTTAATAAATATGGCTTTCCTTGGCAGGGACAAGTACATATTAAAGTTTTTGCCAAAATTGGTTAAAAACTCTAGCACTGGCACTTTTTTGGGAAAATCTGCACGTTTATGTTCACCGCGTGTGCTATTCCTTTTCGAGAATTACCCAGATGATTACGGTAATAAAAATTGATTAGGATTTAAGTTTTTTAAACTTTATGCTATTGAATTTCAGAGAAAACAAGCGAATGCATATCCAAACTGGAATTCGAGGTGGAGGATAGCATTTATAAAATTATTATTATTAATAGTTGTTATTCTATTCATAATAAAACATTTGCAATCCCCAGTGCCATGTCGCTATTCTCTATACCGAGCAATAAGCGCTTTGTTTATTATAACACTGATCCTTCATTACGAGAAGATCCTTTGTTGAAATCAATAACGATGCTGCAAAGCTTTTTGCAGAAATCTAATTTTAAAGAAGACGATGAAGATGATCTTGAAGATTTGCGACCTTTCAAGGTATACAGTAAAAAATTTAGTTTAATTTTAATACCATTTTGGTGTTTATATATAACAATGACAGAAAGTATTAGATTAAAACCATACTGGTTTAAGCAAAGAGGGAGAGAAAAGATTGAGAGAGTATGTATTATTGCTATTAAATTAATAATATATTTGGAATTAATTCAAATAAGCTTTTCTTCTTAGAAACAAACCATGGGGCTAAATTCTATAGTTTTTAGGGATTGAAAATAAAACTGAACTGAACTGAACTAAAAGAGATATGGGTATAACAAATCATAACTATAAAACTGAAATTTTATAGGGTTTTGGTAAACCGTTAATTCAATGCAATCCAGAACGAACTCAGCCAACTGTGGAAGAGGTGTTTCTTAAAAAGAGAAATTTTATGGATTTATTGATGGATCATGTCGATGAAGCACTACAAATAGGCTTTGATGATAGTTCGACGAAATTCAAAGGCAAAAACCATTTTGTGGTATGAATCAGTATGAATACATATAATGTATTTAAAATCCTCAAAAATTCAATTGGTTTGCTGTTTTAAGATACTTCCAGCAAAGGCTTGGTATGAAACAATCAAAATGCTTCATAGAATTTTCATCGAAAATCCAGATAATCCCAAATTTGAGGCCAACGATGCAGATTATGTAAGATAGAATATTAAACTAAACTCTTAAAAATCAGTTATACATAGTACATACATATGTATTGGTTTCAGAAAGCATATTTGGAGAATTTCAATAAAATTATGGACATCGATGATGAGTAAGTAAAATTTATACAAAACCCTGGGAGAAAATGTTGTGAGACATCTAATTAATTATTGCAGGTTCTTTAACGCTTGCTGTGATATAGGTTTGCAGAAAGCTTATGCAATGTACAACAACCCAACTTTGACGCACTACAGTAGCACAGTGCATAAAAAACTGGTAGAACAAACGTATTGTGAAAATTAAAATGGTTATGGCTAAAATTTGTACTTTGCAAGGTTGAAGAGGCCGTTTCATTATATATGAAATATGCCCGCGGCACCCAGACCGTCATAAACGAGACTAAGCTGCGTGAAATGTGCGAACGATGCGGAATTCTATGAATATATGGCTAACAATTGCAATCTGTGCGCTAAAGTAAAAAAAGTTCATTTTCCAGTTTTTGAGCCTTCCATCAATGATTATAGGTTAGTGCAGACAAATAAATATAAAATTTAAATTACAAAAAAATTCAAATAAAATATCCCTAATCCCAAATTTTATGAACAGAGCCGCCGAATTCAAAATTGCTTTTCCAAAGCTATCGATACATGACTCCATTGATTTCGCTGAACGTCTTGATCTACGCTCTCCCGATTCTGTTGACTCGGACGAGTGCTCTCAGCCATTTACTGCCTCACAGGGTACGCATACCAATCTTAGCCTGGTGTCCACTGACGAATTGGACAAAATTGCTGTTGATGATGGTGATATGCACAGTACCGAAGAATCCCTTAATGAATTGGTTATACAGGTGAAAGATAAAGATGCACAGAAAGAAAAGGAGAAGGAGCGAAGCATATACAGGCAGCCCTCCACCACTGAATATCTGCCTGGTATGGTTCATACGGAATCGCCACTGGGATTGTTGCCGCGTTTTCCAAGTTGGTCGTTGGTATGTGTTGGGCCAAGCTCGGTCTACAGTCACAACACTGGTCTATTGGAACACTTTCAAAGTGGGTTTCTTTCGGGCGCAAATTTTTTGCTTCCCTGGGATGTGCATGTCCGCCTGGAACATTCTGCATCGTGGGCCTATGAAAAAACTCGGCTACGAAAGATGGGCGAGGTTTTCATACTGAAAATATTTGTTGGCTGCGAATATGAGTGCCCGCGCGGATACAGATTTATGATGAACTCACCGGATAAGGTATTACGCGGTGGATCAGGTATTTGCCATACAGTCTTCTATTACTATAGACTTATGTCATGCCCTTATTGCAGGAATACTTCGGGACAGTGGCAGTAAAATAGTGTATAACAATATGCCGCTGTATTTCCCTTGTCCCTGTCGTTCACATAAGGCGGATGTGGCTCAATTAATGCGCGTTCATGTTGTAACTCCAAAAGCGCCTGTAAATGTTATTTTAGATCCGAGGGTATGAATCTGATTCTAATATAATTATGCGTCCTTAATTTCATTGCATGCTCTTAGGTGCGTACGGGAGAGCGCGATTATATTTTCACCATGGGTCTACCTAATCCTCCAAAACTAACTCAAAGTGCTTATTGGATTTTACGACTTCCCTACGTGTATCAAGGAGACGAAGGTCCAATAGCACCACCCACCGAAATAACTGCAACCAGTGCAATCAATTATGGTTGCCTACCAGCTGGTATGTTTGGCGTAAGCGAAACGGAAGTAGATGACTGAAAAATCACGCTGTCTACGTAGCCGGAGCAATTTGAATTTTTAACCGGTCAAGGAGTGTGATTTCAACAGCTTTCCCACAAATTTATGGGAATGTTTTATGCTGTTGCAGAAAGCGCGAAAGTATAATAATGCAACATCAGCTACATGGCTATTTTGTAATCTATATTTGTACGTTATTTTTTTTTCATTGAAAACAAAAACAGATTACGTTTAGTTTGTAAAGAAAATAATCAAGATTTGTGTCACTCGTGCATGATTAAAAGAAATCGTTGCGATTTTATCCTAAATACTAACGATTTGAGTTTCCTTTACAGCTGGTACTACGGATCCCTATATTTTTTTTTTTTTTTGTGGGTTTAAGTTACTCTCGTTCCCTTCTTATTGGTAGGAGAGAATTATTTGGCCCGTTCTAAGAATTACAGCGCCATCACCAATTTTGCACTTGCAGTGCTTTCTTTTAAGGGTTTTTATACTATTAATAATTTATAGATGTTGAATGTAGTTTGTATGTATGAATTTTGGTGTATATAATTGGAGTTGCCAGATCAACGTGAATATGTGGTTAATTTGATGAGTGTTTGTAAACTGTGATAAAAGTGCTTTGTGGTTTTTCTTATATTAGTTGTATTCCTGTTTTGATGCTTGTGTTTTGTGGTCTGCTTTCAAATTTTTATTTTTAATTGGGTTAAGAATGTGCTTATGGTTTTCATTGATTTTATTCCCTTTTGTTTAAACATTTGCGGTAGTGAATTGAATTTATTGAGTGATGGGAAATGGATTCTAATTGAGTCCCATTGTGGGCATATGTATACAATATGTGTGATGTCTTCTGAGCAGGAGCAGTAGTCACATTGGTCATCATCGATTATCTTCAGTCTCTTCATGGTGTCTTTGCCAAACGTGTGTCCCGTTAATATTCTGCTGATCATTCTTGTTTGTACATCGTTTAATTCCAATTTGTTTTTATGGTACCATGGTTTCGTAAGTATATTTGGAAACATTTCGAAGTATGTTTTCCCCTTGTTTTGGCTAGTATTAGTGTAGTCTTCTTGCCATTTTGTTTTTAATCTTCTTTCAATTTCTTTTATAGCGTCTGATACCGTCCATCCAAGTGTCTCCTGTATGCCATTGATTTCTGCATTTCTAGCCGCATAATCTACCACTTCATTTTGGTGTATTTTACTGTGCCCGGGGATGAAATGAATTTCTACGCTGTTTATGTTGCTGTTCTCTATTGTGGTCAAGATTTCTTTGATTAAACTGTTGTTTGAGCCCGGATTGGTTAAGGCGATTGCTCCGGATTTGCTGTCAGTTAGTATTGCTAGGTTTGGATAGTTGTGGATTATAGCAAACTCTATTGCCTTCTTGAATGCCCATAGTTCTGCAGTCATAGCTGCCATTCTCTTGCTGGTGTAAAAGGCTTGGGAGGTGTTGGTTCTTTCGTGGAAAAAGGCAGCTTGCGTACAGTTTTCCTTGCAGGATCCATCTGTATATATAAACTCCATTTGTCTGGACTTTAAATATTCAATTTTCCTGTTGAACAGTTGATGTATCAAGATGTCATTCGCTTCTTTTTTATTTTTGACTATGTTTTTGAAGAACTTAGTATAAACGTGAATTTTGTTAGTTTTTATGGACTCTTCGGAGATTGGTGTGATATTTCTCATAACATCTTCATATTCATTAAATATTTGTGTATAACTAGTGTTGTAGTATCTATTCTGGTTAAGCAATAAGTTCGCAGCTGGTAGTTGGAAGGCGCAGGTCTTAATAATTTCTTTTGCAGTAGCTAGTCGGAGTCTGTATTCGGTTGGTAATTCTGCTGCCATGTGGTATAGAATATGTACTGGTGTTGACTTTATTAATCCTAAGCATCTTCTTATATGTTTATTATTACCGGTTTTGAGTTTTGTCAGTGCAATTTTGGACACATTGGAAAAAGATGATGCCGCGTATTCCAATTTCGATCTTGCAAAGGACTTATAAAACTGTAGTGCTCTAGCTGATGAGATTCCAAATGTACAGCCACTCAAAGTTTTGAGGAAGTTACACTTCTGGTCGATTTTATCCGTGATTTCTTTTACATGCAGGTTTGAAGAGTTGTTTTTGGTGATGTATCTGCCTAGATATTTTATTGTGTCTACTTGTAGTGCTATATTATTAATTTGAATATTCAGTGATTGTTTTCTATTGTTGAAGTGTATTGTGTTGCTTTTATGCACATTAATTTTTAGGTCTAATCTAGTACATATTGATGTAAGCTCATCTAATTTAGTTTTGAGTTGTATTGTTGCTATGTCGAATGAGTTGCTGGTTGAGATCAAAAAGAAATCATCAACAAACTGGATTTGTCAATGTTGATGTTGTCATATGCTTTTTCCAGATCTACACATGCTCCTACAACGTGTTTGCCGAGACTTTTTGCATGGAGTACCGAGTTGATGACATCATTTATGCATTGTGAGGTGGATCTTCTTTTACGGAATGCATATGTTCTTGGTGGTAAATGATCGTGTAATTCTGTTTGTCGGTCTAACTGGAGTTTTATCATTCCTTCCATGATTTTATAAACTGTCGAAAGTAGTGCTATTGGCCTATAATTCTCGGTGTTAGCCGGGTCTTTGCCGGGTTTTAGTATTGGTATTATTTTTATGTGACGCCATTGTTCCGGTATTTCCGCTTTGCCCCAAATGCTAGTTAGGATCTGAAATAATTTTTCTTTTTCTTCTTCCTGTAGGTTGTTTAGCATTCTGTAGGAGATACCATCCAGTACTTTTGTGGAATCTGGATTGCGGTTTTTTAAAAAGGTTTTAAAATTTTCTAAGGTCATTTCCTGTATGTAATTTTCACCATCTCTTCTATTGTCGAAGTTAGTATTAATCGGGCTAGGGTTCAATGCTGATGAATGACTAGTTATGTGTTTAAGGTAGTGTTCTTTCTGTTCCTGAGTCCAGTTGTTGTTTGTGCGTTTAATACATCGATATTTCTTTAGACTATTAATTTTTTCCATATTGTTTTTGTGTCTGTTGTAGATGATACCTCATCCAGTAATTGATTGAAACTTTCTTTTTTTGTTTGGTTATTTCTGCATTTAATTTTGTTTGCATATCAGTCAGGATGTTAAGGTTTGTTACTGATCTTGCCTTTTCATATTTCGCCCTTGCATTGTTTCTTAGTCTGTATAATTTGTCAATTTCATTATTCCACCATTTTTTTGGTTGGTATTTGTTATTTTCATTAGTAGTTATGGTGTTATTTGTGGTTATGTTTTGAAATGTTTTGTTTACTTCCATTAAGCTATTTCCGATTTTTGTTTTAGAGATTTCTGCATTGATTTTATTGTTTAGGAATTTAATTTTGACGTTTTGTTTTATCTTGCATTCTTGGTTCAGTTCTATTATTATTATTATTTATTTATTACGGCCAAAGCCTAATTCGTAAATTGGAGTATATTACAGAGTTTTATCTTATAGCTAAGGTTTTACAATATTCATATAATTTTGTTTTAAAGCCTGTAATTTGGTTGCAACTTTTTATGTCCATAGGCAGATCATTGTAACTTTTCAGACCCTTGTAGAAAATATTCTGTTGATCAATTTCAGTTCTGAAAAACGGCAGTTTGAAATTATGCTTGTTCCTCGTATTTATGTTGTGAGTATGCTCAATTAATACTATATTTTTATTTAGATACTCAGGTACATTTCCATGTTTGATATTAAATATGAACTTCATGGAGTGGAAGAAAATTTTTTGTTTCACACTTAACCAGTCTAAAGTCTTCAACATGAAGAATAAATCTCATGCATCTATTTTGAAGCTTTTGGAGTTTGTCTACTTCTATATCCGATATTATGAATAGAATGGACGGGCAGTACACGAAGTGTGGTTCTATAATTGATTTATATAAAATTATTTTGTATTTCTTTTGTATGAATTTAGTTGTTCTCTGCATAACTCCTATTTTATTAGCAACTTTTTCAATTGTATAATTTATATGATCTTCAAATTTGAGTTTACTATCAATTATTATTCCTAAGTATTTTATACTGTTAACTCTTTGTAAGATTTCATCATTTATTTTTAGCTCGGTTATATCATCCTCATTGATATTTCTCCTTGTTATTATCATGTCTTTAGTTTTATTAATATTCAGTTTCAGTCTATTACCACACAACCATTTATACAAATTGTTTAGTTCATGTTGCACTTTGGCAATTGCAGTATTAATATTATTTTCGCTGATCATCATTAATGCGTCATCAGCAAAGAGTCTAATTTCACATCCTTCGATAGCATTGACTATATCATTTATGTATATAAGAAATAGTATAGGTGCCAACACTGTGCCTTGAGGTAACCCTATGGGTACCTCTAATTCATCAGACATCACATCATTAATAACTGTTTTCTGCTTTCTCTGCTTCAAATAGTTGCGGAACCATGTAAGTTCCGTACCAGTTATGCCAATCCGCTGCATTTTTTTTAGTAAAATCTCCCTATCCACCGTTTCAAAAGCTCTTTTGAGGTCAAGGAAAACTGAAACCACTACTTTTTTGTTGTTAAGCTCTTGTTTCCACTCAGATATCACCAAGTTCAGCGTTGTCTCACAGGAATGGTTTTTCCTAAACCCTGACTGTTGGTAGACTAGTATATTGTTTGCTTCAAGATGATTCACTAACTGATTCTTAACAACGACTTCGAGAATTTTAGCATCACTTGGCAGGGTATTTATGGGTCTAAGTTCTTTAGGTTGCATTGTCTTTTTAACTTTTTCCACCGGTATTATTATTGACATTTTCCATATTTCAGGTACCACACCATCATCAAGGCTGTTATTGATTATTTGAGCATAGAAATAACCGGTATACGATATACAATCTTTTAGTACACCTTCGGATAGAAGTTTTCTGCCTCCTATTTTATATTTAAAGTCTTTTAGGATGTGAATGACTTCATCAGTGGTGATTTTAACAAACTTTAATTCTGAATGAGCTTGTGAACCCTCTATTTCTACTTGACAGGTTTCTATGTTATTATTAATTTCAATCACGCTGTTTACAAAAAATTTATTAAGACCATTCGCCAGATCGATTTCGTTTTCAACCAGTATGCCGTCCAATATTACCTTTCTTATCCCTTCATTATCTTTATTTAGGTTAACCGTTTGT